ATAGATCAACAAAAGAAGCCTTCACTATGAATTAACTATTACAAGACTTTAAAAAAGTCACTCCAGCCTGTGTTGAGGGCAATTAGGAGTATCATCCTCTAATTCTCATCTTTCTGGTGCACCCCTGTTATGCCTCAGAACTCCCACAAATACATCCTTCCACCCAAATTATTGCTGCCACAAGAGAATTACGATGTCTGTGAGATGTAACAGCACACTCAAAATGGTCAAGGTGTTAGATGTCTTTAAAACCAGACACATACACAACAAAAGAGAAAGTGACTAAGCAAGTAAACATAGTTCAGTGTCAATAGCAAAATTACAATGTTTTATGCCTCTATGAATTATCAGATGATAGAGATTTTAAAATTTCAGAAGTATTAACCAATTGCCTTTAGGTCACAGGTAATTTTTACATTAAAAAAAACCCAAAATACCAAAAACCAGAATGGAAGCAAACACCCAGTTCAGACCTTATCTTGAGACAAATTTCAGCAGTGTTCTAATTTGGTGCAAGCCAAACTTCATATTGAGCTTATGGGATGTAAAAAGCTAAAATCTAACCGCAGCAATGCTAAAAATGCTTCTCCCACTACTTGCAAAAGATCAAAAAAAAGCCCTTAAGGCAGGCGGTCACTCGGTGAGCTGGCTACGAGTCCCGGTCACACGGCAGCGGGACCGGGCTGACTCGGGAGGGGAGGGGCAGCACATCCGTGCGCCATCCCGGCCGCGGCGGGCACGGCCCGGCGGGCACGGCCGACACCGCCGCCGCCCTGCCCGCCGGGCCCAGCGGCGCTGCCGGCGGCCGGCCGGGGGGAGGCCGGGGGGAGGCCGGGGGGAGGCCGGGGGAAGGCCGGGGGAAGGCCGGGGGGAGGCCGGGGGAAGGCCGGGGGGAGGCCGGGGCTCCCCGCCCGCCGCGGGCACAGGCGCGGCCCGGGCCGGCCCGCACACGCCGCTCGACTGCCGCCAGCTGATACCGACCTACCCAAGGGAAACTTCCCCCTCCCAACCCCAGAACTGGCCTGGGACTCCTTAAAAGTGTGAGAAGGACCGAGCCAGGGGTTCTGCGGCCGGTCCTTCCCGCCTCGGCTCGGAGGGAACGCTGCCGGCCGTACTTGGCAGCGTTTAACCCTTTGCTTTCTCTCTGATCTAAGTGATGGAACTTCCTCGCCGTCGTTCTCGGGTTTCGAACCAGCTACGAAAGGGAAAACAACTCCCATTGCCCAGGGTTTCCGAGCAGCAGGAGAGCTCTGCTTGGCCCCAGGACGAATGAGCCAATCCCCGCTGCCCCTTCCCCTGTGCTGGGCAAAGGCTTCCCCAAAACACCCCTTCCTTTCTTTACATACCCCAGGGCTGGGGAACCTCTTTTTTTTTTTTTTTTTTTCCCCATTAATTCACCACTGCGTAACCAGCTGCTCGTGACACACAAGGCTTCTTCACACAGGAGAGGTGTAAGCAAGGTTTTGAAGATGAAAATAATAAAAACTCTATAGATTTCAGAATCACAGAACTGTTTGGGTTGGAAGTGGTCTCAAAGATCATCTAGTTCCAACCCCTTTGTCACAGGCAGAAACACTTTACACTAGACCAGGCTGCACAAAGTCCCATCCAACCCAGCCTTGAACACTTGCAGGGATGGGGCATCCACAAGTTCTCTGGGCAACTTGTTCCTGTAGGCCACCAACCTCGCAGTTAAGGATTTCTTCCCAATACCTAATCTAAACCTACTCTCAGTTTAAAGCCATTATCCCAATTCCATCACAGCAATAGAAAACTTAGTATTTTTACCATCTCACCACTGAGGTCTCAGGCCCACAGTAACACTCCACATAAGCCAATGCATCAAATGCATAAAATGCAGAGTAACTCGACTTGCATTTAGGTGCCAAACATTCAAGGGCTACCCTCACATTTCATACATGTATAAACATCTACACACCTACATATAGCTAAATAAATAGCTAAGGTAGAACTAGCTACAGAAATATCACCAGCCAGATAGATGAGCTATTTCCAGCTAGCTCAGCTAAGGCAAAGGGGAGAAAAACAGGACTATTTTCTGCTTTTCAACAGGTTGGCGCACTCCCCTTCCCAGCGCTGCTGGAAAGCTGACTCCCCAGCCAGGCAAGCGACCTTCGGCATCATCGGCGGGTGTATGAGCTAGACAAAGAGATAACGTCATGGCCTCTGCGCTCCCTGCGTGTCCTCCCGCAGTGGCAGGTAGCCAGCCAATCCCGCTCCCGGGTGACATCATCGCTGATGCCTCTACACGAATGTGGAAGTACATCAAACTACATCTCGGAGCTCGGCTCCTCAAAAGCAACCTACACCCCACCCCCCAGCCCCTTGGGATGACAGACCGCTAACAAGGGAAATAAAACCATCCAGGAAGAGAGATTTCAAGAAGTGGTTGCTGGGTAGAAGTAAAGCAGAAGGCAACAAGCAAACATGGCATAAACACGTTTTTCCCTCGGTTATGCAGTTCCCATGAAAGCCCTCAAAACATACACATACAGTCTCATCGTTGGGCAACCCTGGAGCATTTTTCCTAGCAAAAAAAGTGCCCAAGAAAAGGTTTGGGATTTTTGTTTTGTTTTGTTTTTTGCAACAACTTTTGCAACAACTGATTTTTAATTTTTTTTTTTACATAATTTCATTACTTAAAAAAAAAAATGCTTATCACAGAAAGAAAGTTTTTTTGTTTGGTATTATTTGTTTACATACAGCCCTGTTAGGTGTCCACATTATCAGTGTATGTACACAAATGTAGACAAATACCTAAGAAGAAGCAGTGCCAACCCAAACTTAAACACCTGTCAATCCATTACTGTCCAGCAGGTTCTATAGCAAGAAAAAAGGTTGCCTGTTGCTCCCCATTATCACAGTGACACTGATGACATCAGGTGTTCAACTCTTCCAAGACAATAAATGCATGTGCCCAGTTTCATTTCTAATACTAACTATTCTGGAAGAGCTCTACCTTACCTAAAGAAAATGAAGTTTAACATTTCTATTGTCAAGACTGTTAAACTAAGGAGAACTTTGCTCATTATTCAAAAGCATTAACAAGTACACTGAGAAACAATACACTAAATTGCAATAATTAACAGGAGAGTTTCAACTCACACATTCACACCCCATTATTTTTCTTTTTTTTTAATAAGGGTTCAGATGATGCAAGCTCTGGGAGCAAAGGATTACAGAAAAAAGTTGTGTCCTTTCAAATGGCATAAAAAAATTAAATAGTCGAGGTTGTGTCAAAGCTTTTACTTATCTTCCCCCTCTCCTGTGGCCCTTTGAGCCACATTCTTTTTCCCACCTTTGTACCAACAGCAGCAGTCTGGCTATTCCAGCTCAAGTCTTAAAAAGCAACTAATACACTGCACAGGCAGACCAATTCTCCATCAGGAAGGCTGAGGTTCACGCCCTCAAAACAAACTGACATGTGTTTCATTTGCAGAAGGGGCAGCAAAGCACTTTATTTACTGGAGCATTAGTTACCGGAGCTGCAAGCAGCAGTATCTTGCCATCAGGGAAACGCGGACCAATTACAGTCCCTTGTTTATAAGCAAAAAGAAAAACAACAACAACAACAAAAAAGCAACCAAAAAACAAACAAGCAACTAAGCATCTTCATCTCTCCTTCTCTCTCCAAATGCATCTTGCATTTCTACAGTTTAAGGCTAGAGCCTTCAATCTTTAGCCAAGTATTAAGTCTGTGCAAATAATTAGTCCTCCTGGTAGCTAGAACTCACTGCAAAATCATGCAAGCTCAAGATTTGTTTGTTCCACTGACTGCACACTAAAGGGTTAAAAAAAGAAAAAAAGAAAAAAGTAGGCTAGTTTCACACCCACATGGGCACTCTCTGATTTCTATTTTTTAAAGTCATACACTTGTCAAACAGGTTATTCTGGGAATTCTGATTTCCACAAAATAAACTTCTCTGCTTTGGTCACTTATTATTGTCACTCTGCACCCCTCATCTCTGCACAGCCCATCAGATGCACACACCCCCAACTCCAGAGCTTCAACACTCACAAGGAAACCGGGTGACAGTTTTAATTATGGCAAATGTCTTTGTCTAAAGTCACTGCAGCAGCAGCAACTTCTATAAGGATTTCCAGCAGCAAAGCTGAATAAGCCTGTGGACGTGTTTGTATAACCGAGCCAGACTCTGACAGCGTCCACTTGGTTTGGTCATTTCTCTGAAAGGAGCACAGAGAAGAATAAGGACAATAAAGGCGTATTTCATCATTACAGGATGGGTACTTGGGAGAGTAATTTGTACCCGTCTAAAAAAGCAGAAGCCAAGAGGCTGACAAACTTGACAAGGCCAGCAACAATGACAAGGGCAACACTTCTACCACCCCTCACTGTTCCGGTTGCCAGTGCGGGTGGCTCGCCTTCAGCCGTGTGCTCAGCCCGGCGCAGGCACCGGGTACCCTCTGGAAGATCGGCAACAATAAAAGGAGAAGAAATTCTGACACAAACCTTGTAGACTTGCCCGTACGTGCCATTGCCAACCACTTCCACCAGTTCAAAAATCCCAGCGGGGTCCTAGGGGGAGGAAGGGGCAGAAGGGGCGGGGGAGGAAAGGGGAGAAGAGAAGTGGGGTTACATTTTTGTTCAGGCGATGGCTGCTGGCAGAGCCCAGCCAGCGAACCCGGCTGCTGGCGGCGTGCAGCTGTTGCGCCCTGTTTTTCCACGCACATGCCAATACATGCAAACAAAGGAAAAGCAGCCCAGGGCCGCGGTCCCCCGCCCGCCCCCGCGGGAGGGCTCCCCCCATGCGGCCGCGGCCCCCGCGCCCGGCACCGGCCCCGGCCCCGGGCCCGGCCGCTCCCACCCCACCGGCCGCGCAGCCCCGGCAAGGGGCGCGCCGACCCCGGGGGGCCCCCGCCCCGGCCCCCGGCACCGGCACTCACCCGCAGGGAGGAAAGGTCGATATCCACCAGACTTTTTGCAGGAGAATCGTTCGCCATTTTCCCGTCTCTTCTTTTTTTTTTTTTTTTTTTTAAATTTTTTTTTCTTTTTTTTTAATTAATAGCGAGGCCGCTCCCCCCTCCCTGGAGGAGCTGTGAATTGCGCGGAGCTCCGCTCCTCTCCTCCCTTCCGCCCTTCTTCACTCCAGCCCCGCTGGGTTGAAACTCTTCAGCATTGGGAGGGGTTGGCGGGGGGGGGATGATGGATAGATAGATGGATGGTGGGAGGAGGAGGGAAAGGGAGGTGAAGGAAGGGAAGGAAGAAGGAGAAGGGGTGCTGCGGTTTGTCCGTCCGTCCGTCTCCCCGCGCTGCAGTGCGGGGCTGGATCCCCCCGAGGATCCCGGCCGGCCGGTCGGTGGCTGGGCGGGTGAGTCGGTGGGTGCCCGCGCGTCCCCGGCGGCAGCGGGCTCACACCATGTCGCGGCGGCGGCGGCAGGAGCGGCGCCGGTGCCGGCAGCCTCTGGCAGCCTCACGATGCGCCCCGCTCCCTGGCATGGCACGGCACGGCTCGGCCCGGCCGGCGGCGCTCACGCCGGGAGCCGGCAGTGGCAGCCGCGGCCCCGCTCTCGCATGGGGGGGCGGCTCACGCCCAGCGCCGCGGCGGAGCCCCCGCCGCCTCCGAGCCCTCCCCGCGGCGCTGCCCTCGCATCAAACGGCGCCGGGCACCGGCGGGCAGCGGCTGCGCGTCCCGGCGGCGGCGGGGCAGGGGCGCGGGGCTGGAGCGGGGTGCTGCGAGCCAGACAAAGATAGCCGGGGAGAGGAGGAGGAGGAGGAGGAGAAGGAGGAGGAGAAAAAATATACTGCGAGCGGAGAGAGAGAGAGAGAAGAGAACAGCTCCCCCTTCCCTTCTCCAACAGGAAAAACCGGCGGAAACGCGCCCGCACCAGAGCACTGCTGGGTAAACTCGCGGGGAGAGAGAAAGAGAGAGGGAGGGAGCCAGCGGGCGGGGAGGGAACCGGCCGCGCAGCCTGCCCGCCCCGCCGCCCAACAATAGCCCCGCGGGGCGGGGGCGACCCCGGGCGGCCCTTCCCCGCCGCACCGGCGCTGGGCCCCGCCCGCGGGAGCCCCACGCGTGCCCGGGCCCGGGGCAAGGACGGAGCCCTGCAGCCCCCGCCGCGCCTCTGCGGGACAGCGCGCTCCGTGGGGGCCTGTCACGGCTCGTATGCACCGTGTGGTGGGGATATTTTCCCATCCCCGGTGAGATGACCAGCAAAATGTCACAGTTCCCCCCTGCCTCGAGATCCCAGGCCCACAGGAAAAAAAAAAACATTATGTCGCATGAAGAGATTTCTACAGAAAGACGGCCAAATCCTGGCCCACAGAACCAGACCCATCTCTCATATTTTAACACATCGTTTACTGACAGAGCTGTCTCAGGCCCCCTTCCCGCCCAGAAGAATCCTCTAGCAGAATTTGAATCGTGGAAAAATCTCATTAACCTCACTTGAGCAAGACACATCAGGCAGTTTGACACAAGTGTAAACCTTGGCAGGATTTGTTTCTCATTGAAGTTTTTTATCACACTGATATGGCAAAAGTGTTACCTGCTTGCAAGAGGTCGAGTTTCCTGTGGGAATCGGGGTTTTCCTGTCTTCTAATTTAACCACAAAATTACATATACATAGCTATAAGTATTACAGAAACATACTTTTGAAACAAAGCAAACCTGTTGAGCAGAAAGTGTAAGGATAAATTACCATAACAGTTTAATGGCATACTTCATTTTCACTTTAAGTGTAGATACAAAGAAAGGAAACTTCAGCCTAGACCAGGAAACTTCATTCTCTGTACAGGAACCTATAGTTAGGAAAAGGCAAGTAATTTCAAATGTATTTGATGCTGTGTCTGCCCAAGTGCATGCACAGGAGTAAGATCAAGTCTAGAGATGCAGTAGGTTTTGAAAAGTGTATTTCTACAAAGATTTATTATCATTGGCCTGGTTTGCATTACATGGTAACTCAGCCTTTTTATGTGTAAGGGAAACCTTGGTAGGTCAGATCCATTTCCTGTCTGTCCCAGCATCCATCTCCAGATTTAGCCAGTAGTAGACACTGAGAGAAGATCACAGGGATACTTTAACCATCCAGTAATACTTCCCTGGCTTATTTTACCAACTCTCTACAGCTCAAGGAGTTCTTTAGCAGCATTTGGTGTCCCTGCATTTTGTTTTTTTAAATTGTGTTTTCCTTCCATTAGATTGGCTGTTTACTTTCTGGATTCATACATGCTTGTGGCTCTCGCAGTGTCGTTTGGCAGGGAGTTCCAAAGGTGAGCTAACATGTTGTGTGGAGAGCACCTTTTGCTAAACTAAAAAAAAAAATATGCTGCTGGTTCTTGTTTTGGAAGAGACACCAATCGTTTCCTATTCATTTTCTTTATTATGTTCATTTTTTAGACTTCTGGTGTGTTTTCCCCTTGGTTTTTGCCAGCTAGCAAGTTCTGGTCTTTTTAGTGATACCACAAATGGAACTCATTCTATATTTGTCCTTCATTGAACCATTTCTAATACCTTCCTTTTTGACATGGGTAAACAGATTTCCATCTCATGTTCATGCTGGCTTCCCCGTGCAGCATCATTGTGATGTCCTCGTTTCTAATCCGCTCCTGATCCTTCCCTTCTTCACTGTTGGGTATGAATATGACATTCCTGTGGTACATGCCTATTATAACTCCAGGATCCCCTTCTGTAATGTTAATACCACCTCAGAGACGGTTGTTGTGTATTTCTGAATGCTGAAAGATTTTCAGGCCCAAATTCTGAATTCTGAGTTTTCCAAGCCCAGGACGTAACAACTTCCTTGTGCCTCTGAAAAGTACAGGCCAGGATTTTAGAGATGAGGATCTGAGCCCATATACACATTTTCACCATTCATATTTTCACCAACAGATGTCATTTCACCAGACCTCTGATGTGGCTCCACCACAGTGTTCCTTCTCTGCTTTAAGTTTTTATTTTATTAGAGTGAGTTCAGTTCTTTGGCATGTTTTTGTATTACACTAAAGACTGCTAAAGTGCTAGCAACAAGATTGTGAATTCTTGAAAAGTAAGCCATCCTCTATCTTTAGGGGAAAAAATAGTTTTCATAAAGCAGTAAATGCTTTATGAAGAGAGCTTCCTGCTAGTTCCCAGAGTGAAGCACCACGATGCCTCACCTTCCTTTTTCTTCTACTCAAGTGAAGGGATGAAAGGCTTGCTTTTTTGAGGAAGAAGCCTCTTCAGCTGTGGCCAAAACCACTCTCTTCACATGTTCATCATGCTCTTCACCAGCTCAGTGTACATAACCAGTTTGAAAGTCCAAAGGTTGAAAGACCAAACCTAAAACCACTGGAAAGAAGAAGAGCAATCTGTTTTAACTCTTCCTCATAGTGAAACCAGCAATGCTGAAGTGAGACAGAGTGAGACAGCCATCAAAAATCATAACGAAGACTAAATGCAAGGAAATGCATTTTCAACCCTGTGGATCATCTCCCCACAGAGCACACATGTTTTTTCTAATGACAAACTTCAGAAGATGTATCAAAATATCTGAGTCCACTGGGGAGCAAAGCAGGAGAAAGCTGGGACCTGTGTGCTGCTTTCCATCACCCTCAGACACAGTTGCACCCATTCCTGCTCAAAGTGCTCATAGCAGTGAAGGGAACAGAGGAGTTGAAGCTCCCTGAGCAGTTTCAGTATCCCTGAAAGAGGGGTCCTGAGCTTCCCTTTCTCTGACCATTTATTCCTATTGAATGGTACCCTTGTGTGGATATGAGCATTCCTACAGCTACATAGTGAGCCAGGACTCATAGCAAAGCTAACCCACAAAAGGAAAATAACTTCTAATGTTATTATTGATCAATTCCTTGGGCTGTTTCATCACGTGTCTCCTTGAGCTGATGTGTTAACAAAAGGGAAACCGAGGGGTCAGAAACTAAGTGGAGGGCAGGAAGTGTGACCACAGCATTGCCTCTTGGTTGCGGCTGTGGCTTAAGCCAATTTCAACTCTCAGTGGACCCATAGGGGTAAAACTAGAGAAACTTCCTTCCTTACTGGAAGAGACACTGTGGGAGTGATGGGAACTCAACATTTATGTTGTAGCCACAAAAGAAATTCCTTGCCCTCTATTTTTTTTCAAGTTATTTGAAATTGTCTTTGTTCTATAATTTTCCACTTCTAATATGCCAGGGCTCTAATCACTGACCAGAGATGCAGAGGTCATCAACTGCACTAACTTTTTATGAGCTTAATCATCAACAGTATTCAAGAAGATGAGTAAAGAGACAGGAAGTTCTGAATTTTCATTTTGTTCTACTACTGATTCATCCTATAGCCTTGGGGCATCTCATTTCCTGCTTCCACTCTCGTTCTCTATGTGGAAAATGGGAGTGATTTTGACCTCCTTTATAGTGTGAAGTATTAGACATGTACCCTGTCATACTCTGGGGAAATTGTTCTCTCCTTGGCTGAAACAATCCCTGAGGGAGGCTCAAGCTAGGGTGATAAGTAACAGAGGACAGGGTAGTGAGTGGGGCTGAGTCAGGCTTTGCATAGTCCAGCTCTCCTGCTGCACATGGAGCAGAAGGAGGCTGGGAGACTTTTCCTCATGCTATTTATTGCAACACATACTGGGAGTAGATCAGTTACAAAAGGATGCCATACAATCAGCCTCCCTCTAGCTTAGGCTCCTCTCCTCCTCTGCTGTTTCCACCACCCCTATCTCACACCTCCATGTGAAAGCTGCTCTGTGTGATCTCTGCAGGCACACCCAGGTTTTCTCATGCTGCATCTTTACAATGTCATATGGGGTGGACATGTTCCTGCAGCTCTGATTGCCCAGTTGCGCACACACTGCTGCTGGTGACATCCTGCTGCTTCCCGCTCCTCAGGATGCTGCACTGCCTCCCACACTGATGGGTTTCCCTCATTCCAGCATGCAGGAATCAGGCTCAGGCACATAGCCGGGCCCAAGCTTGGGGATGCACATGTAGATGATGATGTAGGTGACATGAAGATGCACAGGGCCAGAAAGGAGCAGCTTTCCACCAGCTGTACTCTTTGAGGCCATCACTGCCCACACCCTGGCTGGCTTCCTCTGTTAGCATTTTGGGGACTGGATTGAAAGGACTCCTGAAATACAGGGGATGTCTAAATATAGCAATCCTGCTAGTGCAGGAAGAGTGGCAAAGTGAGTCAGAGCCTTTCCACAGCTGCTCGGTACCATGCAGGGAGGCACAGTACAGTCAGCACTGTCAGCACTTTGGAGGTGCCCACCTTTCTCCATCCCCTGCCAGGCTCCACATCTGTGCTGTTTTTTCAGCTGTGCTGGTATGGCTTCTCTGTATTGTGGTCTGGTAGCTAGACTGATCTTAGCAAAAAGGAATACACCATTTTTATTTTTTTGCAAGTTTTGCTTTACCTCCCATTAATGCCCTGCTTTAAATGAGTGGTAGGCAATTTGGTGAGAGTGGGAATTTCTCAAGTTGTTATTGCATAGAGATCTAGGTACCACAAAACCATGTCCTGAAAATAATTTTGGGAAGAATTACCTCAAATGGCACTGCAGAATAGCCTAAGGGGAAAAGTTAATCTTAGTCCTATAATAATTAATATCACACTTGTGCAGTAGTGGAGCACCCAGCATTTTTTATTTAATCCAGATTACAAATGAGCATATGCAAATTTTCATATGAAAATAACATAATACAATTTTTATGCCATTTGTTTATGCTGGTTGTGATGAAGTAAGATGGTACCTGGTCCATTTAAAGTCATAGGCCATGAGAAGCAGATGGCTGAAATGGTATGAAGTTTGCTGGGACAACATGCTTCCAGAGAAATCTGAACAAATCTAAACCAGCAGAGTGAAGTTCAGAAATTTGCATCACCTAGCTGGGGTATTTTGAATCTGACTCTGAACATGCTCACATAGGATTTGCATCCATGGAGCCATAGTCTCTGTGAGGAGACTGCTTCTGCACAGAAGAAAGAGTGATTTCATGTTGCCACACTGTTTTCATTGACTCCACATCCCTGACTGATCTACTCAGACTGAACTCACAGTACAGTCCAGAATCTTGTACTTCATATCAGACTGTTGTCAGTCCTGCAGCTAGACTTAAACCAGGCAATGATGCAAAAACCTGGCATAAAAAATACTGTTGCATGCTTGGGCTAGTTGAGAAGATCCCATGTGTATTTCTGTACACTGCCCGTGTTCTAGGGTTTTAACAAGCTCGCTGTTTCTGAGTCTGCTATCTGTCACACAAAGCACACAATTACTGAGTGTGACTGCCTGTCACAGGCTATCTCTGCTTGTAGCTAAGCTGGCTTGTAGCTATCTTCCCATGACCCAAGTGTGACACTTATTTCACCTCTTATACAGGGCCCTGAGCCATATCTGTAGTGGCTGTGAGCAAACTCTTTTCCTCCCCATCTGACTCAGAACTCCTCAGGGAGTATTGTCTCTTCTCACATTTGTCTTGATGTGCTTTATCTCACAAAAGGGCACCTGGGGATGCTCACCCAGTTTCTGGGATCTGTCTTCAGGAGAGACAACCTGCTTATGCCACATTTGCGCCCTCGAAGAAGAAAAGTTGCTTTGCCAACATGACAGTGGCTGTGGCTGTGCAGGCATTTACAGGCAGTGCTTGTGCAAGGATCTCCCAGGCCTTCCCCACAAAGCACATGGGCATGTATCCTATGCTTTTCCTTCTGCTCTTTGGCTCATGTCACTGCATTGTCCTTACAAGAGCCATGTGATCAAACAGATAATTATTGGAAATAACACCTGTTTTCAGATTTTATTTTGTTTTATCCAGCTCTGTTGTGTCCATAATGTGGTGAAAGCAGAAAGGCAGTGAGTGGGGATGTAGTTGTGTTGCTCTTTTAGAGCCCTTCAGCTTATATAAACAGAGTTCAAGTTGAGTCTGCAAGCCTGCCAGGCTCGTGACAAAATCAGTGGGGATCACCTTTCAAGAACTGGGGCCTCGTTTTGGCATCACCCTGAACATAGTCTTGATGTGCCATATAATGAGTCAAACATGCCATGATGAAGTGATACAAATCACTGAACCTTTATGAACTTATTCTGTCAATTCTAATGTGTCCAAAAAATTCTGAGGGAGTCATTTTGTCACAGAACATCTAACAGGGGGCTTCTGCAAGGAATCTCTGAGAGCATAAATTCCTGCAGTGCCCCTGGTCTGAGTACAGCTGTCTTTAATTCTGAAAATGTATCCCCACGTTGAACTTTGTGCACTGTGCAAGCTCCCTGTGAATTCATATACCT